GTGTCACCTAAATCTAACCCATTTACACAATTTCCACATCCTTCACAGAGCTGATCTGTGAGCAGGATTTGCCTCAAAAAAAGCCAGAATGAGGAAGAGTCAACACATCATATTTACAAATATGCACCACAGACACTACCAATTTGTGTAGTAACACACTGTTGGAAGGGAGATCCCGTATGTTCTCATGTGTGTAAGAAACAGTGAAACAGCGCAGAGGAATACTACTGACATACAAAATATGCCAGCTATGATGCTTCTTTATTCTCACTTATCAAGTCTCCAGAGGCATCAGAAACCCTCAGCATTTTGATCTTATTTAAAAATTCACATTAACTGTCAATTTAGACCAAGCAAAGTCTTCCTACAGTTCACTTAACACTGTCCTCTTGTACTGTATTTCATTAAATTAGCCTTCAAAAGAGACAGCTGCTGTTTGGAAACTAGAAATATGAGACATCAGAACACACACATTAAGTTTCTCTATTAATTGACAAGGATAGAAATTCCCAAGGAACGACAAGGTTTGGTTTTGCAAAAAAATTTTTCCCAAATCCTGCAAAGGTCTACTGATCTATACCCACTAGTAAACCTTGTAGAACACAGCATTTGTCAGAACATCCCACTTGCTTCGGTGTAAGAACTCTCAAAGGCTCCTAGACCAAACATGCTTTGGCTGTGCCTCATGCCAACTGACTCCTAGAGCTGTTGCATGCCCAAGCACTCCACAGGAGAGACAGAAGTTGTGGGCACAGTTCAGGGGTCACGAGTTGCTCCATGGTACATCTCCTTGGAAAGATGCAGGCTGGGAGGAGGATGATCTGACAAAAACTGCAGGAGCCTTCTCGGATCCATACACCAAAGGGATGGTGGGGACATTCTAATTCAGCTGTGTTTATCCATCGGCTGCTGTGGTACGTACGCTGTAGCTTCAGCCCAACACTGCAAGCAGGTCCTCCAGACCCCAACAACACTGCTTCTGTGGTCAAAGAACCCAAAGCGGCCATGGTCTCAAGCTCGTGTTCAGTACACCGTGAGTACGGCAACACGCCCTAGTAAGGGAGATCTGAAGCTTCCCACCGTGGTCATGCACTGAACTAAATATACTTCGGAAACAAATCAGAGCTGGGATCAAGATGAAGCTGAAGATAAAGCTCCCCAACTTTGGGGAAGGGTAGGGAAAAAAAAAACAGATGATTAGTAGGTCTACCCACGAAAAGGCATCTCCGATTTCTGCCTACAACCGAAAAGCCCATCAAGCCCAGTAGCAAAAGATACAGAACTTCACACCTCAAAGATTGGACTGTTGGTACAATTTTACCTTAATACAACCTGGTTTTTGTGGTCTGCCTCTGGGCTCACAGTATTGGACTATCATTTAATTTAGACATTACTGAGCACAAGAAGTAATGTAAACAAATCAGAATATCCGTAGCTATCTTCTCTATTAGCGCTGGGAACTAACCAATGGCTCTTACCTGATAAATTGCCTCAGTGGGAAAGAATTAATTAAAAGAGACCACCAATTGATTGTGGATACACCTGGTGCATCCCAATATAATGTTTCTCCAGCTTTTAACTGTATCCAAGCACAATTGTGGATGCAATCTATGGTAGCAGCAATTATAAGAGAAGGTGAAGAGGACACCTTACCCACTGAAATTCTAAAGGTAATTTGGGATAATTCAATCAAATTTGAAAAATAATTCCAAACCTGGTGGTATTTAGTCAGTAAATAGTTTTACTTACAACCCCGTCAAGAATAAGGCCACAGCCTTTGTTTTAACCATACACAATGCTTCGGTATATACCATACACCCAATCATCCCGTTAGGATTAAGCTATAACAGAACTATACTCCACCCACGAGAACAGAGCCTGGCTGAGCAAACTGTTGATGTTAACACATGCACTGCACATGCAACAAGGATTTATTCACGAGGGTAACACCAAAGCCCAAGACATCTGTCTTCACACTGAAACGTTTGTCATTTTGAAATGCATCGCGATGAAACACCTGAAACTTTGTGTATCGTGGAAAAGGGTGTGTTTGCCTAAGAACCTTTGTGATTTTACTTTTGTAGATAACATCACTGTAGATACAAGCAATTACCCAAATATTCATGTTGATATTTCCTAAAGTTGGGGAATGAGACTTGAATTCCTCAGTTCCTATTGCTTATCAATCGTTACAATCTAGTTGTGAGTTTTTATTCCTGACGTAAAAAGGGCCATGGAAAATTAGCTTTGGTAGTCTAATCATTAAAAATCACAGATCTTTTTGTCTTCAGGTGACAGAGACATTTCTCCAGCTCACTGGTAAATTTTGAAAAACAGCAGCAGAGCTTATTAAAAAGGTCACACCATTTTTTCATAACACACGGCAACAGAAACTACCTTTACCCCAAAAGCGTTACCGCATGTCACCCCTATGATAACACTGGACAAGGCACAATTTTTACCATACTCTGCTCTTGTCCAAGCTTAATTACGGAGTAGAGCTAATTTAACCCCTGTCACTGAGTAATTAGAACAAATGAGCCAGAAGCAGAACCAGCACAATAACACACAAAACAAGACTAAGGTCTACTGGAATCCACGCTGAATATTTTTTTAAAATTTCCATGTCAACAGACACATCCTTTTAGCAAGTGGTTTGTGAACAGTTGATGTCCCTATTGGAAAAACATCTGGAGTCTTTGGTTTTGAATTTACTTCTCAACATTCAAGACTGACCTTTTGATTTCTAAATCAGGTTTTATCCAGATCTCTTTAGAAAAAAAAAAAAAGAAAAAAGAGAAACACCATACTGCTGTTTTGCAAATACAGCCGCCACCAGTTCTCTTCAGTCCCCAAAACACTGCACTATGCCTCGGCAGGCCTTCTGCTCAACCCTACTGCAGACTACATCCACGCAGAGAGTTCTTCTAGAACTCCATTTCTAAAGCCACCCACATTTCTTCAAATTATTCTCTATTAAGTAGATCTTTTCTTCAAAATGCCCCATACGTTCAACACATTTTCTGTTTCTTTTTTTAATTTCCCCTATCTTGCTTCCTCTCAGCCCAAGACAATTCCCCCATCTTCCATTTGAATTTCCTGACCACCCACTGCCCCCTCTAATTTTTTTTTTCCTCCAAAATGCCTTTATAGCCATTTTATATCAACTCACAACTCTTCTCCTGTGTCTCCTCCGCAGCCCTCTTTTGCATTTCCCTTCTTTCTTCCGTCCCAGCATTACCCTGCTAGAGTCAGGCATGAGGAACTGGAAAACACACGCTGCTCCTGGCACTGCTGATGCCTTGCATCCCAGCCAGGCCTCCCAAGCTCTACAGAAGCTCAACTGGATGAGGCAGGATCCCAGCAAGAAATGAAATTAATCCCTTAAACACCAGAGCTACCCATGCTGGTTTGTGTGGGAAGAAAACACAGTAACTGCTTTTTTGAGAGAAAGGCCCTATTTCACTGCATCCTCAGCTACTCATATGTACACACTACACAGCTACAAAGCAAGAAGTGAAAGAAGAGACAGTTAACACTGTTGTGCTGCCTCTCCTATCCCTGTTCTTCACTTTCCCAACCTCTTTATACAGGGAGGCAAAGGAAAGAAAGGTCTAGCTGTTCATCTTTACCATACCGTTGGTAAAAGATGAGTCCCAATGTTCTGGTCACACACACTTTCCCCTCTATCTTAAGGCAGTTACATGGCAGGTAATTAGTGAATGTTTCAAGTAAAACCCGTGGTTCAAGACAAATAGAAGCAAAACAAGCTCAACCTACAGGGCTGGACCTTGAAAGACCAAATCCAGCTTCAGCTTCATGTCACTAAATAAGCAAGTAGCCATGAGCAGTGATGAGAGGGCTAAGAGGAAAACAAACAAAAATCCCACTTAGAGTAGAAACACCACCTTACAAGGATATGAAATATAAGGGCAATTTTACCCTTATACAGCTCCATTATGACAGATACCAGAATATTGCCTTCAGTTTTGTTATTGACCATTTTGTAAAGGATGTTAGAACAGTAAGTGCACAACACACAGAGCTTTGAAGGCTACGGGAAGTGCCTTACTGTGAGGTTTTTTCAGCACAGACTATTTGTCCTACTTGATTATAACCTCTAAACACCTTTGCCAGGGAAAAAAAGGCAATTTTAAAGTGTTATTTAATCTAGTACGGAAGCTGACAAAATAAGCTATGACAAGAAACTGGAAAAATACAAATGGGAAATAAGGTTTTATACTTTGTTCAAATAGTCAAATAATCAACCCTTGAGTTTATCAAAAAGTGGTGGAATCTCAAACTTTTCTTACCTCCAAGAGGAGGCTGCATGAACTTCCTGAAGTTAAGCTCTGACAAACAAGTAATGCACTCAGAACACAATAACCACATTTCACAGTATACAGCAAAATGAATTACACAAGCCAAAGGTCTTGGACTTTTTTCTGTTACCTCCTGTAACCCAAGCTACATTCATTTCAGAGGTTTCCTACATCAAATGCTGAGCAAAACAGGCCAAGGAAAACGGCTCAAATGAATACCACAGAAGCTCTCGGGATTGCGTGGCCTCTGGCAGTTACCCCTGTCCTCTAGATTTCTGTCTGTTAGTTGTCCATTTCTACTCACATTTTTGACAGAAGCTAAAAGAATAAACGATTTGCTTCTGAAGCTCAACACCAGCATCAGGTCTAAAAAGTTTGTTAGTCAGTCTGGTTGTTCAGTCCTATCGAATTACATGTCATGTTCTACTCATCGAACTGATTTTTGGCCAATCACTCTGCTCTTGAGAAATAAACCTTTCCTCTCCAGTAATCTCAACACTTCAAATACACATCCATCTCGCATTTTCCCAGTGTAAGCATTTCTAAATTCTTCTGAACTTTGACGTCTGAGTTGTGGCTCACACTGCATGTCGTACATCCCTGCGAGCCTTTCTGAAGCACGGCGTTTTTCTGCACAACAATTCGTATCTCAGCAATACAGACGTTTGCAGAACTCACCTCTTTCTCGGTATCCCTGGATATACAGGTCCACTGGTTTTCCTTTACACTGTATGCCCAGAAGTCAGCCAGGTCCTGAGTTCCATCCCAGCCACCAAACAAATAAACAGTTTCTATTTAAAAAAAAAGAACATGTTAATTCTAAGAACAGAATGCCTTTAACAGGCTAATACCTACAAGACACGGACTATCAGAAGGGAAATTGAAACTGGTTCTTGCTTAAAGCACCGCTCCCCTTCGAATGGAACCAGTCACCACGACAAAGGAACATGCTTTGGTTTAGTAATGGAAATTTTTCAGATTGACACACAGCCAACTTTCAAGGAGTCATTTCCTATTTCTACATATACGTAAGAGGCAATCAAATCCACAGCTTTCTGATTAAAATTCAAGACAGACAACTGAACAATATTTAACATTTTGGATACTGTGCATTTCAGTATCAATGACAGCTCATCTTACCCCCATTTGGTGCAAGATCTATAGATTAGGAAGACTCCTGAGATAGCAGCAGCAAAGCTTTTCTGTTTAGTCCATCCCTAACAATGGAAAACTTTAACTATAAAATCCTCTTCAAGGGAAATGTCTTGCATAAAGTAAAATACCCAATGCTGCAAAAGCAGTAAGTAGAAGAGCTACAGATCTAAGTCATTGTATCAGGTCCATCTTTAGGGCCTGTTACCTTACACCCACAACTGCTCCATGCAGAGCAAGTTCAAAGGTTTCTCAGACTTGCTGATAAAACTAGATGATGCCTCTGAACATGACAAGCGTTCAAGGAAGAAGTCTGTGTTCTGACATGGGGAGATAACTAAGTTTCTCCTGTTACAGAAACATCACTACCTGGTCTCAAATGTTAAAAATACTTCATTTTTAGACTGCATTAGAACACAACGCAAAGCCAAGTCCAAGAAGAACAAGCCAGACAGGACTTGCAGAGCCTTGAAAAACTCCTTTAAAATCCACAAGCCAGTTCTATTATGGAGGTAATGACCAATTTTTAATCCAACACCAATTAAAGAGCAGAGTTAGAAGTGCGATTATAAAATGGGAATAGTCCCTGACCCTTACCTACCATCAGGATAGTGGTCATCACCATGGAAAGGTTACCCTGGTTCATTAACTTTAATTACCCTTCCTCCTGGACTCAGGGCTCCCAGTGTTCCCTGCAAAGAGCAGGTCCCTTTGTGCACATAAATTCTCACAGCTCACAAAACCCACATTACCACAACAGCTTCATTGATAGCCGAGAAAAATAAAAGATTTGGCACCAGCTAAATATCCTACTGGGGCCTCGCCAAAACGTCATGCCTGCCTGTAAAGGCTTTGTTGTCTCAGATGAAATTTAATAGCAAACCTGAATGAATCTGATGAAAACTCAGATTTTTGAAAGTTACCTAGAATCAAGCTGACAGGATTAAATGGCATGTAAGCACTGAAAGAGGGCTACAGTCATACAGCTAGTGCAAACTGTGAGCATCCCCAGGGTCCGAGTGCAACCACGATAACACAAGAGCACATGAACAGCGTGCCAAACATTTTTCATCTTGATGTAAAACTGTAGCTCGGGTGAAAGGCTCCATCACTATCTAGACTCAGGATGACTACCTTTAAGTCTCATGACTTGCTACAGAAACACACATTTTTATAGGAAGTCTGTCTATTTTTAAAGGAACATTTTTTAGTGCATAAATGCATCTACTGCTGGTAACACCACAAAAATAATTTTTCATAGTTCTAAAGTCTGCAATTATTCTCCCATGGTATAAGGAAAAATCAGTAGTTTGGTGGTTTTGATGGGGGCAGGGGGGTGTTTGTTTGGCTGTAGGCTGTCAGGTTTTTGTGTTGTTGTTGTTGTTTGTAAAGTCAACCTTTACTCTGTTCTCCAACCAGTATCACACCTTCTGCTCTACCTGTCAATTCAGATTTTGTGGGGAGGGTTATTTTTCCACCCTGTGCAGAGACCCACCAGGACAGACTCAGGATGTATGCCCAGCACTCCCCAAATACCTCAACTATCAGCAAACAGTCCAAGAAGAGGGCAAACACAAGGAAGAGACCACAAACTTCCAGGCAGCAGAAGCAGAGAAGCTTGAGGGGAGCACGGCAGTCTCACATCAATCTATTACTCTTTAGCAGCACTAGGGAACTGAAGATGCAAGCAGACCATCTTGCTCTGGAAGAGGGAAGGATTATTCCTTTGTATCCGAGCAATATGTAACGCAGCAATACTGATGCTGCTTTATTAAAGCAAGTCTCTATGCTGCTTTAGGGACAGAGCAGCAGAATTTTCAAACCTACCTGCAAGGCAACAAGAAAAACATGAAAGCGGTTATATTTACCCAGAGCTTTTACCAGCTGCATTTAAGAAGTCAAATTTCTCCTACAGCATCTTAACCTTGCCTCTTCTACGTTTATTTTTGAACAAAAATTCAACACGTTCAATTAAATATGTTCTGTGAATATTTCTAAACTGCTTGCTCAGACAAAAATGTTTCTATAATGTCTGAATTCTTTTCTTCCCTTACTCTCCGGAAGCACAGAAGGTGCCAGAGTACTCCTCAGTTTATTAGAGAACATAAGTTTCCAAAAAATAACACATTTCCTGTCAACCTCTCCGTAAGTTCTGTTTCTTCAGAAGCGTGTGCAAAGCAGCCTTCTCCAATCTCTGCTAAATACCAAAAATCCTGGGGTAGTGGCAGTCAAGGTTCACGTAAATCCTCCAAGTCAGCTTTTCTAGCTTCTGTTTGCTTCATCTTCTCTGTGGGGTGAAATCCGTGGTGGGACTCTGGTACAGCGGGTCTTCCTCATCCGACCAAGATGTTACATGGCAAATTGCTGAAGCCAGGCTGATAAAAGATGCTTGGGATGTCAGAGCTTCCCTGTTTTTATCGTCTAAGCAATAGGCACCACAATGAATGTTTTCCAATCCTGGCAACATATTTAACTATACACTTTGGCCAAATGTTATAAAAGATACTTCGGATGTCTGAGCTTCCCTGTTTTTACCATCTAATAAATAGGCACAATGAATGTTTTCCAATCCTGGCAACATATTTAACTATACACTTTGGCCAAATGTTATTTCCATGGCTCTGCTAGAACAGCTGTCTATGGAATATGAAAATTATGGAACTAAAACACCTCTGCAAATCATCCGGTCCCCCAGTCATCTCCTGAGCCCCCGACAGCAGGGCTAGCTTCAGCAACAGACCAGGCTGCACAAGGCAAGTATTGTAACTCCAAACACCTGTAACTCCAAAATACAATTAATATGATTTGTTTTCGGAGTATCTCCAAAAACATGTATTTCAGACTGCCTGGAACCCTGCTCCAATGACCGATCTTCTTTATGATTTCCCCCACCCCACCCCCAAAATACTTAACTGGAATGTCCCTTGCTGCAATGTGCCCATTGCCTTTCAACCTAACCCTCTGAACCCCCCCAAAATGAGCCTGGCTAGTTCCCATGCTCTCCAACCAGCGGGTTGAAGACAGCTCTAAGATCCTCCCATGTGCCTTTTCTTCTGAAGCTGAAGAAAACCAGCTCACTAAGCATCTGCTCATACATCACGTGCTCCAGCCTGTGACCACCTTGGTGGCCCTCCACTGGGCCCACTTTCAGACTGTCACCATCCTTACTGCACCAGAGAGCCCAGAGTGGGCAAAGTACTCCAGATGTTCCTCTCTCTGGTACTTGAGGTCACATCATCCCTCCCCTTAACCTCCTGGTCCTACTTCTGCTAATACGGCCTAGCAGGAGGTCGGCCTTCACTGCCATGAGGGCACACTGCTGATGCACACACAGCTGTCTACCACCTTGCAAATCTTCTTTCCATGCAGTCAGTTGCCAGCCTGTATTACTGCACACAGCTGTTACATCCCAGGTTCAAGACTCTGCATTTATCTTGGCTGAACCTCACAACGTTCTCCCCACAGCCTTTCAGGTTCCCTTTGACTCACAGCCCTTTTCTCCAGTTCATCAGCCACTGCCCTCCCAATATGCTACCACCCCAAACTTGTGAAGGCATGTTTGAGAATCAGTGTCCCCAGAAATAAGAACCAATTGTCTCTGAAGTTAAAAAAAAGAATTCTAGGTGTAAGATACTACAAAAGCCTTCTACAAAAGGACATCACTTCTGCATGTAGTAACCACAGATTTATTTATCTGCAAGTAGCACCGTCCACTTTGCGAGGAGCCCTTGAGAGCACAACGCTAAAGCTAGACTTTACATCTTCATAGAATCACAGAATGGTTTGGGTTGGAAGGGACCTTAAAGACCATCCAGTTTCAACCCCCCTGCCATGGGCAGGGACACCATACACTAGACCAGGTTGCTCCAAGCTTCATCCAGCCTGGCCTTGGACACTTCCAGGGATGGGGCATCCACAGCCTCTCTGGGCAACCTGTCCCGGTGCCTCCCCACCCTCTCCAGGAAGAATTTCTTCCTGATGTCCAATCTAAATTTCCCTGCTTTCATTTTAAACCCATTACCCCTTGTCCTATCACTACAGGCCTTTGCAAAAAACCCCCCTCCAGCTTTCTTGTAGGCCCCCTTCAGGTACTGGAAGGCTGTTTTTCTTGAAGTATCACACCACTCAGCTTCTAAATCACAGTTCAGTGGAGACAGCAGCTGAATCTAAGATTTTGCAGGCTCAGGCTGGTCTGGGTAGTCATCCAGTCTTTCTCTCAAATGTGAAAGCACCATGAAGTTGAGAACCTCCAGGATTCAGCAGCTGTTTGTGTTTCAGAGCTTAGAAGCCATCTGTGTTTTGTTTCAGAGATCTTTTCATCTTGTACACAAGTCCTGTCTTTAAATATCTTGTGGATAGCCGTGTTTTCCTCAGGCAAAACAGCATCCTTCATGTTTGCTGCTCTCACTTTCCATGCCACTTCTGAACCAGTCTCGTCATGGCCACTGTGTTCCCCACATATACCACTGGCAGACTGTGCCCACCGCTCTGCATCTCCCAGTGTTCCCAACCTACGGATTTGTCTTCACCTATCTAACAGAATGAAGTAAGCAGAATTCCTTCCTGTGAAAGGGAAAGCAATGTACAACCCAAATTACAGAGTAGTTTCACTTCAGTGAGCGAACAGAGGTAACACATCAATAAAGGCCATTTCACTAATATTTTCCTTCACAAAATGTTACACTTGCCAAAAAGAAGAGAAATGCAGACAAAAAAGAGATTATCCTGGTTGTTCAGCTATTATTTATAGAACAGGCTCATCAGAAAACTTCAGAAGGCTATCTAAATGAAATTAAAATGTTTAAATAAACAGGATATCGCTTTTCTTAAGAGTGATTTCTATATTGTCTGTAATTCTGTTACCAAAATAAATTCTATGGCTTTATGAACTACACCATCATTAACATAAAACTGTGCCTGCCCTAAAAGAGCAGAGATCAATTCCACCTTATCTATGAAATTATACACTAAAACTCCAAAACACAGTACACATGTTCCTCTAGAGTACCAGTGTCATTCCTTAAAACTTGTCTTGGCACTCAACTTACCAACTCCCATTTCCTTCCAGAATAAATACTGATATTTCAAAATGCATGCTGAATTTGAATTATAAAAAGGCCTGAGAGGGCATAATCAAAGTTACATCAATCAAGGTACCAGTGCTAGATGCCTACATCCTCGTCCAAAACCGCATTAGGACCTAATGCATCTGGGAAGAGAGTACTGTATACAAAGCTGTGTTTTACTGCTTGTGTATTTCACCAGGGCCTACATAAATAGCAGTACAGTTTTTCATGACCGACATTCAGCGCACTTACACTATGTTCTTGTGTAGTTTTAGGGTTGTTTTCATTTGGTGTTTTGGGGATATACTTGCATGGTTTTAATCTATGCACCTGGGCTGTGACTACCCAAATACTTCCCCTTCCTTGGAGAACAGTGTAGAAAACTCTCCAGCCACCCATATGGAGAGCTCTGTAAGACATGCACCTTGCAGGGAAAAGCAGAAATAACACAGGCCTTCTGTTTTCATTTACAGTTTAAAGCTTTAAAGTATGTAACAGCTGTTTCCAAGTATAACCAGGAATGGCTCTTAGTAAGTGTTTCTGCATATGCATACCAAAAACAACTTCCTAATTCCGCCATCCAGAGTCATTCCAGTCTAAGCGTTAATATGATGAAAAGCGTGAAAGACATTGCGAGAATCATTAACTCCGTAATATTTTTTAAATATAGGAAGATATTAGGCTGCGTTCTCAATTCTGTATCCCAAAATGCCTACACTTTGATTCCCAACTGCTTCAAGTGTTTCAAAGCACAAAAGACAACTACACTTATTCTAAGACAGCTGCAGCAGGTATTAAGAGCATGAACATCAGATGGAAATGAGCTACAGTACACCTTCCTGGTAGCCAGCAGAGATGCCAGAACTGCTCTTACAATTCCTTCCAGCCTACCCTAACTGGAAGATAAAACATGCTAAAAGGCAGTTTAGACCAAGTTAAACTGTGTTTTACCTGAAACTTAGAGCATCAACAGTGTCTTAGTGACTCAACGCACCATCAGTAACTCGTCATCTGGCTCAGCTGCTTTCTAACCTGTATTTGCACATCGTAACACTAACCCATGTGCATCCAGCAGGCTCTGTAACATTACAAAACTTACTAAAAGTAAACTTATTTTTGTAGCGAGTTAGTATTTCCTTGAGGTTCAAAAGCAGTACCTTTACAGTTCAGTTATAGCTACAGCAGGTCTGGACAGTGATAAAAATTTGCTTCCAACACTTCTATGTGATAGGGAACTTCAGAACCCCCTTATGATTTTGGTGTTTCTCTGCATTTCTAGATTAACGTTGAAGAAATATTAATTTTTTTTTTTTAAAGGACCTCACCCTCTAATAAGGGGTGCAAAGTGAGCTTTTTTCTTCAGTTGTCAAAGACTCCTGAAAAAAAAAACCAAACAGCTCAACAAGTGTGTGGGTAAGGAAGGGAGAACTTAGAAGGAAAGAGTATGCCGCTGCTCCCTTTTCCATTAACGCTAGATTTGCTCAAGGTTAGCCAGGAGCTTTACAGCTCCAGGCTGTAAAACATCCTAACATAACTGGCTAAATTCCCAGAGTCTCATTAAACACTACCTATATTCAAAAGGAAAACTCAAGCAATCCGCAACAGATGGTTTTAAGAATAACAGCACCAAGAACCTCCCCCCCAGCCTGCTCACGAGCCAAATTAAATGGCAAAAGTGATAATCTCAAACATTTAGGCTTTTATAAGCCTCAGTGGGCCTGGAAGCAAAACTATACAACTTCCCAAATATCCTACAGAGAAACTTTCTGGAGGTATCCCACCACTGGAGAGAGCTGCAGCAAGAAAGGACTGGGGTGACAAAGGGAGATCCAGTTCTCCCACACTGGGACGGGAGGTGCTCTCCAGCCTGTTTTGTACAAGTGAAAAAAAAAGAACATTGATGCTTTTTACTGCCTTGTTAAAGCAGAGTGCAAACTTTAGTCAAAGGCAGAGATAAACTTACTAGGACTTAAGAAAACCAAGAGGAATGGAAACGAAGACTCACACTACCATAAACACATGGTCAGGAGGTCTAAAGGACGATCGTGTCCAAGTTGGGAAGCCTGATGTTTCTCCAGAGCGCCTGTGCGACAGTCACTGCCTACTTACTCGCGAGGCCACTAGGGAGCGTGCCCAGCTTCCTTTGGAGGCAAGCTCCTGCAGCCTTGTATTCTAACGACTCTCAAACCCCTTCAACCAAAAATTTTAAAAAGTTTGCTTTCATGCGCAAAATAACTCACGTGTTTCCTCTAGAGCAGTAACTAAGCTCTGAGTAAAAACCAAAGACGGCAGCTCCTGCTGTATTTGTGCTTGTTCACCGTGACTTGGCAAATTACTCTTGAAGGCACTGTCACGTGCTTCGCTCCCTGTCCCTATGACCACAACAGACACGGTCACAGCACAGTTTTGGCCAACCACCCTCAGTGCCGCCCTATACAGCCTCTCTGCTACCTGCGACCCCAGTCTCATTTTCCTTTCCTAAGGCCAGTTCTGTTACTCCTACAAATCATTTGCTTAGCAGAGACGCAGGCAGATGCATTCCCACGTCAGCAAGGAATGATGTACCACAGAAATTTGATTAAATAAAAACAAGACAAAAATACAGAAAATTATGGACTACAACCATCATCTGAACTGGTACTTATGGCCCCAACCCTTTCTTTTCTCCACAGGCTCTTTGAAACAGAGGCTGAACTGTTCTTTAATATGCTACAGGGAACATTTTTGTAAACAACTACTAACAAACTGTATTTCACAGGCCTTTCTGGCACACTGTGGAAGTTAGAAGCCGCTCCGACCAAAAGACAAAGAACGTTTCAGCACATAAGATCCACTGCTTGAGCACTATTCCAAAGAGCATAGTATGTAGCAGATAAGGGAAATAATCATCCCTGGTTTCTGTTCTCCTGTCTAAACTCCTGCTCAAAGGGGATAGGAGGGACAAAAAATTAAACACCATTGTTCTTGGTTTCTTAGTTAAGATGATGACTAATGCGTAACAGAGCTAATAAGGAAGAAAGGGGGTGGGAAAGGCAGTTGGAATGTAGTTCCAGAGAGAAAACAGAGTATTTAATCCAACTACTAAAAACACACAAATTTACCTCCAAACCTCAAGTTAAAACAATCTCCAAAGAAAAACACATTTGCATATTAATCTGAAAAACCACCTGATTAAATAATTAAGTTAGTAAATGTAGCAACTACTCACCTGTCTGAACATCTATAACCATCTGATGGCCACCTCTCATCCCTGGTCGGCTGTCTTCCCCATCACCTTTAAAAAAAGAGGGAGGGAAGAGTTTTCCATTACAAGATTTTTAAACCAAAGACAGATACAACCTCTCTTTGGCCTAATGACTATATAGAAGCAGAGAAACTTACTAACTCACCGTTCTTGAAACCTTAGCACAACACTTTTTCCAGGTAGTATTCTTCCGTGCGTTACAAGACAGTAGAGAGTTTTACACTAAATTACCTGGTGACTGATATGACAGACAGCTGAAGCGAATACAGTACTCTACCGCAATTCTGAGCGCCTTGCAAATGAGCCTGAGAGCTCCTGAAGCATGAAGATCCACACAAACGAGGGCTGAGCTAGCTTCGCAGCTCTCTGACAGTGAGAGCGCAGACAACCTTTTGTTCCCCTTCCATCTCCCCTCATCTGAGAGCTGTCTGAAGGCTGAGCAGTGAGAGCAGGTACTCAAATGACAGGGCCATGTGCCCAAGGGATGGAAGCAAAGAGGTAATGGTATAGATATAGCAAGGCTAGCTTGGCACCAATTACTTATTCTTGTATGTAAGGGAATTCTAGCTGTCCAACTAAAGCAGGTTTCTAACTGTTTTGGATTCCTTAAGTATTCAGGACAGGTGACATTTATGGGAAGCAACGTTAGAAAGATAACCTGCATTCTGCTGGAAGAGAAATCTGCCTGTCGTGACAGATAATATAGATAACTCTTCCCAAGCAGTTTGGGTACAGTGCACCACGTTTAACAGTTGTCACCCTGAATCCTACAGTTGCTGTATGACAGCGATCTTTGTACTCTGCAGTCAAGGCTGCCACTCCGAACACTCCTCTCAAGGCAGAAAGTCATGGAAAAAGATTCTGCAGCCTAGATTCACTGTATAACAGACCAAGACTTCAAAAGGTGCATCTCAAATTTAAAATATTCCCTGCAAAGATAATATATTTATTAACCAGTCTTCGCTGTACATCCCAGTTGACTCCATGCGCTAAATCCAGTCGTACAGGTGACTGCCCTCATGCTTAACCTACATTCTGAGACTTCTTTCCAAACTGATTAGCTATCCTTCAAGTTACAGCTAGTGTTCTGTAGTGCTCCTTACTCAACCAGAAACCAGGTTGCCTTTCACTGACTTTGCAGACAAATTCACGTTTTCCACAGATGAAAACATTCCCCAGAACAACTGTCTGAGAGGCAGCCTTCTTATATCAGTTTCTTTCTCAATATCCTCAAAGGGACAAGTCAGAATGGCGGTACGAGAGTCATATCTTAAGAAATGGCCTTACCTTTCGTGCTTTTGGGGATGATCTGCCCCCAGCGAGGTTTGTATTCCTGCAAAAAAAATAGGCCATCTGCAAAACAAAGATTTTGCTGTATAAAATGTTTATGCTTCCATTGTACACAGGTAACTTCAGCCTAACTCAATACCAATGCTACTCCAAAGCCTTCATTTTAAGTAAATTGTCTATATGTCAATTAGTTTGTTAAACTTGCTAATGAACTAAATGTGTAAGCACTAAAATAAAAGCAATACTCTTTACTAGATCAATCAAGAATTACCCAGTTTCCCTGCCAGGTCATGCCAATTGTCTGTAATTGTGTGGTGTATTTAATTAAGAATAGAATCCCTCCCCCTTATTTAAGCAAAAGGAAAGTTGCCAGTGCATGTAAAAATCAACGGTTTTAGTACACGTTAAGCTAAAACTAGGTCAGGCAGCATCTCTGGAGCTTCATCTAAGAAGGAAGAAAAGCAGATAGTTTAAATGCTATGATATGGGACAATTAAGTACTGGATAAAACCCAAAATAATAGTTTACATGCTCTTCAAAGAGTTAGGCAAGAGGAAAAACAGAAGACACATTAGGTCACTGGCCAGATATGCCAACCACAGCAGTTCTGTAAGACGCACCAACTCCAGCACTCTTGTGCCTTCCTCTCTCCTCCCATACACCTACCACATCCCACCTCTTCAGCATCCAGAGGTCAGACTGATAACGTGTAACCAGAATTAGGGACTACCACACACGTTAATTTTTTGAAGTGATGCTTAACACCCACGCTTTCCTGGACCGCTCTCCAGTCTGGGAAAAGCTTAGCAATTGTTAGAGGAACTTGCTAGTATTGTTCTTCAAAGGTCTCCTCTGAAAAACCTACCTTACCTCCCACAGGCACAGACTGCTAATGGTCAGTCTCTTGACCCCCCGCTCACCTGGCTATATCCCACCCACCACCTCAAGACACAAGCTCGTCATGACAGGCGTTTATTCTACATCTATGCATTACCTGAAAACAAAAAGGGGGTTCAGACACCCGGTTTACATCACAAGTACAGTGACAAATACCACAGGCACTGTGGATTCAAATGGTAGATTTACACCGTTGGTACTGAAACAGTACATTGCCCATACACCGCTCACACGTAGGATGCATTCAGCGGTCCTTAACCACGTCACACCCAACAGCTCTGCTCTTTGGGACAATGGCACCTGGCAAACTTGCTAAGGAATTAGTTTTACATTCCCCAGCAGAGAAATGAAAAATGAAATTACTAAGTTGCATCTAGTACTTCTTAGTTTTTCTGACCCAAGTAACTGTGGCACTGAGGTAAGAATTTAACAGATTATGAATGGCTCCATTTATTTACAGAAAATCCCTTGATAGGCATACAGACACAAAAGAATAAGCCTTACTGCACACATCCATATTTATTTACGAAAAGGTAGGAATCTTTGTTAAGCACAACACAACGTTCAGAGAATATTGTAAAGCGTTTCCTGGCATCCTGTAGTTTGTCATGACTGAAATCTAGGTTTTAATTAAAACCAAAGCCAGCAAGTACTTCCTGGGAGATGATGAATACTCTGTTTAGAGACCATCTAATAGGAAAATAAGGGCACTCAAGAGCTCCTGAAAGGTGCTGAATTTGGTCTTAAAATACAAAACTGCTTTTAACTTCCACAAACTCAGCTCCGTGAGTTTTTCAAATTAAATACTCTGAGGGCAGGGTAGAATTTTCTTGCACCTGTCTTAGAGCCAAAAACATCAGCTCTCTCCTAGCATTAGGTAATTGAGGAGAGCCAAAAGTTTGCTCAGTGTCAGGTAGAAAAGTGGTTTATTTTGGTTAGGACTAGAGCTTCTAACTCCCCCTTCTTCAGCATTTATGAAGCTGAGGCAAGACATAAGAGGCTTTAAAACTGAGATTTCATGAACTCTGATTCAGAAAAGCTCACTTCCAACAGAACAAAGGCATGTGCTGTAAGAAATCCCATACTGACTCAGGCAGATTTTTCTAGCCACAATCCTAGACAGAATTCCAGCCTTTTGGTTATCGTTAGAGCATTCGGTCTTCAAGACAGAATGCAAAACCGTATTTATCCCTATGGCAGCCAATAGATAATTGGACATAAATAGCTCAAGAGGATGAATTACACCACATACGATCTGAAAGGGTGATTTAACCTCTCTCCCATGCTCAACACCCACAGGCTGCACTTGTCAAGATATGACACTTCTCCCCTACTGTGCCTTCAGCCTCTTTTAATAATGCTTCTTGTCTTCCATGGGACACTGGTTTGGAAATACTCCAGCTTGCTTCCCAGAAATGTTTCTTTCTGCTGGGAGCAGTTCCACATTCATTCTACTTGCACTGCAAACCAGCAGCAGCTTGTTTTGAAGGCTGAATCACCACCTGTCTGACACCACAAGGGGAAAAAAAAAAAAGGAGGATTTCTAGGTGGATTCTGGATCTGATACCAGACCTAATCTAGCACACTTCTTACATTTCTTGCCAGGATAGCACTACTGACCAAAAGGTCTCCAAAGCTTCTGCAAGGCACTAAAAATCAGATCTAGGCCTGCTCAGGTTTTTCAGCTGTTTCCAATGAATCAGTAGTTTAAAAAAGATTTCAGGGATCCTGTAGGAAAAATAAAAAATGTGTTAAGTGCAAATTTTTAAAGGAAGTCTTTTCCTTTGATCCGGAGGCCTCTCATTGCAATGTCCATGTTTACTCTCTAAAATTACAGCCCAAACCAGTACTTTTATTTTGTACCATTTTCAAGCCCTCCGCAGAGAGCTGTGACGCATTTTGGATGTAACGTGAAGTTCACAGCGGTTGAAGCTCAGTAAATTCTACCTCCCTGATAACCGAAGCATTTATCAGCCAATTACAAGTTACCTAGAAAGGATTAGGACAAACACTGTGGACAAAAATATTTGACTTGCTGAAGCCAATCAGGAACAAGTGAAAGTTGTATTAAGTTTCTTTTAGGACAATACACTTCTCTAGACAGGATTAAAGTCTATTCACCTTACTGCCAATGGCCACAAAAAAAAAAAAAAGCAGCTGCATTTAGCTCACTATTTCTGGGTGTTTGACTTCAGTTTAAGATTTTTCTTGAATAAAAAACATACTCAAAACACCTAAACAGGTTAAGGTTTTCATAGTCACAAAAATCCTTCCAAAGAAAAGCTGAAGCAGAAAACAAACATGACACCAGATCAAAATTCAGTCAATACTTGACAATTCCGTCAAGACGCGGGAGCAACAATGAGACACATGAATTTTTCCAGCCTTGAAGCTGCAATATCCTCTCACATTTCCTTCTTAAGAAGAAAAACGAAACAGGATACAGGGTTGGCTCTCAAATCCCTGCAAGATATGCTGCTTCTGTGCAAGCCCTACCATCCACTGACTATTCTGGATCCCTAGCAAGCCTCTGCCCTCCACGTAACCCAGTACTACAGAGCAGCAAGCCAGCCTTCATACTTTGTCAGAACCTCGTGCAAACGTATTTGATGGTAAAATTACTGCAGACATGTCTGTCTAGAGCTTCCAGGACAACACAACCAATCCAGCGCATCCCGAGTTGGCGACATTTGAGCCCACAGGCTGTGCATCACAACTTCTTGTTCATCATACGGTGACGACTTGTCAACAGATAAACACGTAACACATACTGACACGAGAACTGCCAGAAGGAACACCTCGGTCCCCAGAATACTAATAGGAAATGAGCAGATCTTCAATCCATTTCAAGCAGCTTTCCATGTCTACAGTAGCTGCAAACACATCAACTAAGTAATTTGCACTCTGCATACTCTCTGTAGGAATATTAAGCAGATTTTTTTCTCGAATAATATAGGCTGTCTGAAAGCTATAGGAATGAATCCAAATGTGAAGCATTTGAACCAAGTCTGTGAACCAGCTGAGATTTAGGGAACCTTTTTTTTTTTTTGAGAGAGAGAGAGAGAGAGAGGAAGTCAGGCAGCTGCCAGAGTTTCCATTTGCCCATTTTCGAAGTGTAATGCACAAGTCAAAAGAATCTGCGGGAAAAGTGTGGCTGCCTGCCACCGAACTCTCAAAAGAAATCATCTGGTGATGTGAGGTGGAAGACAGCGTTCATCATTAGCAATGCAAAAGAACAGGAGTTAGCTCTGCTAGCACTAATTCTTGACCACCTACTCTTTTTCTACATGACTAAGCCTATGGAAATAGCCTGAGAGATGCATCGCATTTCACATTTAAATACCTACCACTGCAAATATTAGCCTCTACAGAAGATATTTTCGTGTGCAGTATCTCTGTCAACCTCATGGCACTTCTGTTTGTTCCTTTAAGGCAATGAACTTTCAGATTAGCAAGAGGTCAGAAGTTCACATATTCATGTCCAGTCTGTTACAGAACAGTTCGCTCTTTGAACGATTTCAGGGATAATTTAAGGATCTGTATATCTCAATTAACTCTACACTTCAACTACACTATGTGGACTATGCACAAGATGCAAGTTAATCTGCTTTTATTTGGAAAAACACCACATCACAGAGGAGTTCAGTCGTAAGAACACCCACACCTTAGAGACTAAGCAGCAAGCTATGGAGGCTTCACAACAAAGCTGCTAAGAAAATGGTAAAATGCTGGGTGCAAACAAGCTTCTTTCAAACAGGAGCCTGAGAGAGATGCAGAACTGAGTAAAGACAGGTAACTGTGGAGGATCACAGGGAGCAGATGGCAGCAATACAACAGGAGAACACACTGAAGGCTGAAAACATCTATTGCCACCCCAGCAAGAAGGATCCTGCTGTTAAATACCATCTACATTCTACAACTGGACATGACCATAGTAACGTACAACTCTGGACAATCCATCCCAGCTGCAGTTCCAGGGTTTTTGTGGCCATCAGAAGAGGTTTGTCCTGTCCTCTCCCCCATCGTAGCCCTGACCTGGTTTGCCGCACGGCAGCACAAGCACCAGCGCCAGTGAGCGAGAGGCCAGGGGACACACTGTCCTGAGCAAGGGCGGGATTGACCCAGTTAGTAAAAACCCACAGTTGTGTCAGCTTAAAGCAAATATGGGATACAGCCTCAGGGTCTCAGGATAGGTAGCACTTCTCTCCGAAGGGTGCTGGGAGGTGACAGAGCTTTAAATGGGTACAAAAGCTGAAGACAGCATAAAGAATTGCAGAAAGATGGGGGAAGGAAGGTTAATGTATTCAAAGACAAGCAAAATCATTAAGGATGAGCAACGGAGCAATGGGAGATGCGTACACTGACATTTAACTTCAGCTAGCCAGGTGCCCGATTAAAAGGAAGCAATATAAGCATCCTCATGCATGTTATTCTGTCCCTCGGAAGCAGTGACAAAACATAATGATACTACTTGAAGACTTCCCTACTAAGTTATCCACAGCCTGTTACCAGAAATACTTGCTGGAACAAAAAAGGACTGATAAAACAAGCTACAGCATATTTCTCTGATTTGCTTCGGCAATGCTGAGTTCCCCGTGATTACAAAAAACAGGGAAGCAGGATAACTTGACATCATCTGACAAGAAGGAAGTGCTCATTTGTCAGGCAGCACAATACAAGCCCTACAGTTCTCTACCAGGAAAGTCCTTTGCCAGTACTTCCACACCTGGAGAAGCTGAGCACTGCAGACAGCAACCCCACTCTCAACATACACGGGGAAACAGAAACACCACCTCAGCTAAAGTCCTAGATGAATGCAGTATGCTAATATCAAGTAGTAAAAGAAATTAACATATAACAGCTCAAAAAAAATGAGGCCACAAATATTCACTTCATTAGTGCCTAAGAAAAAAAAAGGTCATTTTTGAGGGAACATTTTCAGCACATTCTAGACTCCTAGTGAAATTCCATTCAAGAAATAGTTTCTACTACAGCCTGCAATGAAGTGGAAAGGGGACAGCCTCTAGGCACTGACGAGATTAAGCCACAGCCAAGACCAATGCATTGATAAAAATCATGGCCAGCAGCACACAACACTCCTCTGGCTCTCAGCAGACCTTGCCTCATATTGGTGGGCTCATCAGCTCCCCCCAGGCACCCGTGCCTTTGAGAAACACTGCAAAGACAGTAACAGCCAGCTACAGCTCTCAGCTGCTTTTTCATCCTGCCCTTAAGATTCAGAAAGAAGCTGCCAGTTGCAAAATGCCCCTGCATTGCAGGAAGCTGTTCCTGCTCCCATCCCAGCCAACAACGCTATGTTGTCTCAGGAGGGCAGGCAACACTCAGGAGGACGAGGATGAATGCCGGCAATTCTCAGTCTCAACGCTTGTAGCTGCTCAGGGAGCTCAGCACAGGGCAGAGCTCAGCTGTTCTATCTATACAGTCGAGAAACCTTGAGCCAAAACCCATAAAAAGCCATTTACTGCAATTTTTTTATGACCCGTTGCAGTAAGTTCTCTAACACCGTGCTTAGTTGAACAGCTTATTCACAAAGACGACTGGATTTTCACAGAAAAGAAACTTTGATTTTGAAGCCATCATTTCTATCATATCCATAGCAGCATTTCAACTCCAGTGGTACATGCCACACTGACGGAGTCAAGGTATGCTAGCATCTATCCAAAAGGTCTTACAAAATTAGTGATTATCCCAGAATTAGAGAAACACATCTCCGGTGCCAGATACCCACGAAATCGGTCCACTAAGCCCCTAACTCTACTGGCATCAGCCACCAGGTTCCCATCTTGTACCAATACAAGTTTCCCATAAAGATTGACAGTACGTAGTCCAAAAGCACTAAACCCACACCCAAAAGCACCTCTGGTTTATCTCTTTGTGATCCACTGCACAGGTCTTGGAGACCCTTCAGGACAGTAGCCCAACTCTTTCCGTATCCCGTCCTATCAACTCCCTCACTGTAGGAGTTGAGAGCTGTTTACACACAGTGCTTCTAAGCTGAAAGTTTCAAAGTAAAAAGTTCATAGTAGCTACACTGAAAATGGCTGCCAATGTCCTGCTCTGCAAGGTAAAACTGGCTCTGTCTCCAGTCACCGAGACTTCTACACCACTGTCCAAGGGCTATATCCTCATAAGCACAGAGAGCATTCCCATTCAAATGCATCTGAAAACTCCTGGTGAAACACCAACCATAAGGGAAGTGCTAACCAGAAACCAAGATACAGATCACCGCTGAGAAGTCAAGTTTTAGGCTTCCCTGTTCACCACTCCAGTGACTTCCCCGACAGTTAAACCCACCTTCAGCTTGCCAACCACTTACACGAAGAACTGAGTCTTACCCACCCAAGTGCACCACGCTGTCACCTTGGGGGGAATAACACCCAAAGCAGCAGTGATAAGAGGTTTCATGAATGAATTTTTAGCCTTTACCATAAGCATACTCACAAGTCCAAAAGCTGACAGTACACGACACGAGATACGAAGGAGCACATGGGCTAGGAGATTCTACTACTCAGTACACGAACATTCAAAGCAGTAACATTTCAGTGCTTTTTTTTAATATACCAGACCCCTCTGATTCTCTTACCATTCACAGCTTTTTCTATCAGTTCTTCACAAGCATCGAAGTCTCCCTTCAATACCAGTTTGTCATGCAGGTCTGTCAACATTGGGTGCTCCAGAGCAATCTTGGTTTTCTTCTGCAGGGACTCAAAAGCTTCCGTGTAGTTGTGCTGACGAAAATGCTTTAGGCAAAGGCGAATGGCTTCCTGTTCACGGTACTACTGGAACACAAGAAAACCTATGAGACATGTAGATTTTTCTTTTACCAGCACTGCTGGGAACTGCCTGTGAACCTGCCTGAAGACACAAGCAGGATCTTACTCACGCCACACGTAAATTGCTCACGAGCTTACAGAGGGACACTGTATGAAAGACATTACAAGCTGTGCAGGCATTTACTTCACAACAGTATAGAAATTATACAGCTTGGTATCACCCAATTTAATAAGCACACAAGAAGAGCGCTCAGTGTCCCAGATCTCTGGAGTGACCATTATTTCCCCCCCATCTGCTTGGCCCTGCTGTTGGAGGCCTACATGAAGTAGAGAGCAGGAAAAAGCCTTCACTATCAGCGTTACATAATTTGATTGTACGACTCTTACATAACAAAATAATTTAGAAGAGTAAGTAGGTCACAGCTCTAGAAGCAGAAGAAAAGAAAAAGCCACGAGAGCAAGAATATTTGCAATGACCACCGCTCCTGCAATGGGAAGGCAGAAGGCAGGGCTGACCCCAAATCCTGCGGGTTCGCCAGGGTTTCAGATCAATGGCAAACGAGGATTTACGTGCACGCCAAAGATTTACCGTCAAAAATACTCGCACGCATCTCGAAGTGGAACCCCTGCTTTCATATCGCAGCTGAGTCAAAGCTGCCCATTTCTCACTCAGCCATGGGAAGGGGTGAGAAGGGTGAGAGAAACGCACGCTGGGTCAAACATGCAGGCACAGAAACACGAGGAAATAGCAGATGCTGCGTAAGAGCTATAGCTTGTGCTGTTAGCCTACCAAATGATCCACTGTGTTTTCAAAGCTGCTAACAACATGCACAGGTATCAGATTTTTAAGTTGATAAGTAGCAGAACGACTTATTTTAAATAGACTTTTCAAACCTAAGTTCTAAGGAATTATTTCTTTAATGCCTATTTCCATCTTTAACACACATCTACTGTGGTAAAACGCAAAAGTAACTAAGCATCTACAGGACTGATCAAATTACAGACAAGAGATTTGATTCCTAAATGGACACCACTGCTAAAAGTGAGGTTTATGGTATGTAAATGAATAGAATCATTCTGAAAACCTGGAACTAGCACTGACATTCAACAAAAATTAGTGCTCTTGAAATAATGGCTCTATAGCAAGAATCTCAAACTCACACAGCTAAAAGGAAACACGGCCATGTGCTATATTTTTAGTTCTTAATCCGTCAGTATTTCACTGCTGCAAATAGCCAGAACCACGCGTTTTTAGAAAATCAGTTCCCAGCCCACATGAAAAAGGCCAAGGACATGTACCGATAAAAATGCAAGACTGTAGCAGAGGAATAGTAAAGCTAAACCAGAGTTTTACAGCACAACAAGAAAAAACTTTTTCTAAGAGATATGGAAGACACTGTCTTTGAGCAAATGTTCTTACACAAGTCAAGGCCAAAACCACATTGAATTCCTTGTTGCTCAAAGGGATAGCAAGCAAACGGATAGCTGCACAGTAGCAATAACCAGCTTCTGCCCTTTCAGCTTCTCTGGTTTAGGCATTAGATGAAGTCCTGACTCTGTGTATTTGCACCGAGCCTCTCATCATCATCACTGCTAAACATGTCTTAAAAACCACAAAATGACTGTTGGATGCACGTCGGCCACTTGATATAATACAAAAGTTTGTATTTAAGTGCTACCATAGTAGTATTTCAGAAGTTAAATGTAAAACTTTTCTTTTTTAATGCAAAAAGCTGTATAAAGAGTATATAAAAGGCTCCTTTTTAAATGCTGTCATATAGTTTAAAGAGATGACAACCCAAATAATAGCTCTAATCTGAAGCTGTAAATAATTCCTATGGTAAAAAACGTTAACAAGAGCATGAAACTCGGATATTAACACTGCCAAATACACTAGTAGCATTAAAAATATTTAAGTGTTAATTATTGAAATCAAAAGCGAGTCATCAATAAACTGCCGCTTCTTAGATGCTGAAGTACACCCACTCCAGCAAAAGGAAAGCAGTAAGGCTTTCAGGAGGCAGCAGGCTGAGCTGGACAGCAAGGAGAAAGCAGCACGGGGAACCGAGGAGCGTGCTTGCTGCATTGAGTCCTTACTGCGACACCCCCAGCTCACCCTCCCCATACAGGAAAAGAAGGTTTTGTTGGTTGAAGCACACACTACAAAAAGGATGGGCAACTTCACACAAAATCTTCTTCTCATCTGGCGTCTCCGGCAGTAAAGAACTATTAGATTTCAAAGCCTTTGAGACTTCCAAGAACACGCACTGAAAATATTCACACCGTCTCAAAGAACTGGAAGAAACAGGTCCACCTTTCTGCCTTGCCCCAAATATGGGGCAGAGATCCTCCTACGTGGATCCAGCAACAGTGGCCTCTCAGGACTGTGAGAGAGGAGAACATCAGTGAGACATGCACTCATCACCAAAAACTTGGCAACTGGTCCTAGCTGAGCCCAAACAACCATGACTAAGTCTCTGCGTTGCTGCTTTAGGGCTCTAAGCTTTAGAAGAACAATGCTGGCACCCCTTAAAGAAGCTGCCACTACATACATGCTGACCATGAAAAGTGTCGATTCCATGGGATAAGATGGAACAAAACAGATGCTGACATCGTCGGCAGATGGCTCCTGACCAAAAAAAATAAAAATCAGAGCTTCCTGGTTGCAGCAACTGGCCAAAAACACCAGACACACGACCATGTGCAGAGGCAGCAGAAAGAAGCAAAGCCATCAGGAGCCTTTACCAACTGGACTTCACAGAACTGGACACCCGTAATCAGTAGACTAACAACCACAACACCACTCTGGTCATAAAGCAGCTACAGACAACTTCCACTGTGACTGTTAGCACTGGTTTTAAATCCTCCGTGAAGAGGCTTGGGATGTTGGCATAAATGTGTATGAGCCAGACCGCATGGCCACAAGGTTCCTTTACCATACCGGCAGCACCGTAAACTGGTGAGGGAATCTCACCATGCACAGTCGTTATCCCCTTTTAAGTTTTTCCTTCTGGTAGCAGACATATGCTGCCCCACTACTCAGTCTTATTCAGCTGGGAAGCATGCCTTCTCTGCAGCACAATATGAATTTCATTAATTGTTCCAGAAGATCTGTGCATAAAAAGCAGCAAGAAAATGAATTCTGGTTGTCAGCGTGCGCTTCCCTCCCACAGGAGAGTCATCTGTTGTACTCAATTAAATACAGTTTATACAAATAATGTCTAGAACCCTTTGAACTTCCTGTCTATCAAAGTGACAAATGGCATAAATCATTTCATCTCACAGGCCAGTGGCATCAGCTCCCCTCTGTTCCAGAGTATTCAGCAGATAAGAGGGAAACATCAGAAGTGCAAGAAGCTGCAACAGGAAGGACGCCAACACGGATTCTCTTTACAACCAGCTCATTTCTATGCCCTGGAACAAAAGCTGCATTCGTAACCCAAAAGGCTCCAGGCTCACATGCAGCCCTACAGAAGGACTGGCATGGTAGAAGAATGACTAATCAAAAGGCAAGAAGAGGGAGAAACGGGATCTGGTTTTGTTGAGATTCATTTCTCTTCCAATAAAAATACTATTTTACTAATATTGTCCTCTTTGAGTCAGTGTTCCTTCCTTTCATGTTTTTCATGAGACATCCACCTAGCACGTGGCTTTTCTGTAGGTTGGTGGTGTGGGGTATGTTTTGTAGTAGTGGCCACTTTGGTGGCATTTTTGGGTTCGGTTTTGTTTGGGTTTTATTTTGTGGTTTTTTTGAGGGGAGTTGATTTTTTTTTTTAAGAGAACAAACAGATAAAATTCAAAAAGATTCACTTTGACTTTAAGTAAGCCATGTGGTTTGAGTTTTAACTATGCATGTTTGTTGTTTTAATAGCTGATATTCAAAGAATGGAAAGGTCACATAATTCCACTAAGAGAAGTTTCACAAGATTCTAAGACTCCAAATCTTCAGAGACAGGCATCTAAAATGCAGGCCTACCTTGCTGTACCAGTTGAGGCAGGGTTGGACCACATCTGGATCATCAATGCCATTAAGTTCAACATACCAGATACTAAAATTGAAGCTAGGTCCCCAGGATAAGAGTGGAACTGGAGAGGAAAAGGAAAAAAAGGGTGCATAAACATCAAACTACCACTGCATTTGTCTCATCAGGCTATACATACTACTACTTCAACAGAACACTTTTAAAGGTTACATAAAATTCAGTATTTCTGATTTGACATAAGTTTTAGTTTATTTAAGTAAGCTTAGAAAAATAACCAAATACGTCACATTCAAGTTGTCATTTACAGCAACCTGTGCCAAGCAACATTAACACAGCAGAGCACTGCAAAGCAGAAGCTTGCTTTAAGCAAAAGAGCAAAAATACTATCATTTAAAACAGCTCAAAGAGGCAACAAGCTTTGACATGGATGAGAATCACAAGCATACTAGCGACAGTGTTTGCTCCTCGCAGCACGTTTATTTCCACATTTGTCAGCAACAATCATCTTCCCTAATGATGAAGACAAGGAGCTCAAGTATCTTAAATCTTACATCTGCAAGTAGTGGAGGAGGGAGGAAGGGAGGGAACACTGTCAGTTTCCAATTTAAAAACCTGTCCTGGGTTTGGCTGGGATACAGTTAATTTGTTTCCCAGTAGCTGGGATCGCACTGTGTTTTGGATTTAGGATAAGAATAACACTGACAACACACTGATGTTTTAGTTGTTGCTAAGCAATGTTTACACTAAGTCAAGGACTTTTCACATTATCCTATCACCCTGCCAGTGAGGAGACTGGGGGTGCGCAAGAAGCTGGGAAGGGACACAGCCAGGACAGCTGACCCAAACTGGGCAAGGGGATATGCCATACCATATTACATCATGCTCAGCATATAAACCAGGGGGAAAGCTGGCTGGAAGCCTCTGTTCAGGAATCGGCTGGGCATCGGTCAAGCGAGTGGTGAAGAGCTGCACTCAGCACCACTTGCTTTTTATTATTCTTTTAGCATAACAATTATGCATAATAATTATTATGACAATAACAATCATCCCTTCCTTTTCTAGCTTATTAAACTGTTTTTATCTCAACCCACAAGCTGCCTGCCAGGTTAGGTTAAAACACAACAAAAGTATTTGTTTTCTTTAAAGCTGAAATCTGTACAGCTTTTTGGCTATTACTGTTTTATCTGCATATTAGAACAAACCTACATAAAATATTAAATGACCTGTGAAACACACCACGGCCCCTCACCTAAGGTTTCTCTACCACTCCCTGTTAACATCTATGGTCTATTGATATTTGACTGATCTAACTGACCTATCGATTAATCTTCAGGTTAGGACTTAGTTCTGCTTTTTGAAGCTACTCCACCTCCCAGAACACTTCTGGGTCAACTAACTCCTCAAAACCGCAGTGAAACCAAGAGGTTTCATTTCAAATACTTCTGTTTCCTTTTTAATTGACCGTAACTGATAAACAGGAAAAGATAGTATTAGTGATGAATGAGTAGTTACCAGCAACAGTATCGTGTCTGCTACTTCCTCCCTTCCACAGAAACTATTTTTGCCACAGAGAAATTGCTTCTTGTCTTCAAACCACTATGAAATAGCACTGAGATTAACTTGTTGAACTAATGGTTTTCTGACCTACTCCTTGAGCAAATAAAACCAAAATTTGTCCTGAAGTTGTTACTGAGCTTTTAAAGGTTCTTAAGTATTCATATTTCAAACAAGCTGATCTATTATTTTCTGCAATGCATTTAGGCACAAAGCATATGTTCAAGCACATGATTTTCTAAATTTTAAAGGGTGCTGCTACAACCTTATTGCTAAAAAGTCATGACAACTTCTGGGAGGAGTCATCAAGAGAAGATATTTTCAGAAAAGATCCAAAGAGACTTTGAGCATGCGATTCTTAACTGATTTAAATATCCCTAAGTGGGTACTTCGTATGTTACAGCTCTCAAGTCATCCTGTTCAAACATTTCTTTCTACTCAATTGTTCAGCATACAAAGCAAGATGCTTTCAGAGCAGTTCCTAGTAGGTATGTGTTTGTGGGGACAGGAGAGATATGAACTGGCCAGAAAAACCTAGTCACCCATCTTCTGTCCACACTGCATACAGTCAGCCCAAGAAACTTATTTCTTTCTTGGTTTTGTCCTCTGCACAAGATAAGCACTGCTAATATGGTACCCAAGTACACAGGTAAATTCAATTCCAGATATCCCACCTATTAAGGCAGCAGCCTGACAAAGTACCACAGATAAGGGTATTGATCTGTCTTCAGGCCTGAACACAAAGACCAAGCCCAAACTGAAGTTAAACTTCATATTTGCTCAGCTATAAAGAATCAAAATCTATCCATCAGCTTACGACACTGAAACACTGAACCAAACCACAGGCCACTTCAAATGGACCAAGACCATAAATTTCCTGATGGTGAACCTGAGGCCAATTTCATAACATTAGATTTACTGAGTGAAAAACCAAATCCACTCTTCAAATTACCACCTCTTCTCACCTCCTTCCAGAAAAAAAAGAGGTATCTCCCATTATTTCTTCTCAGCAGTTCTCCTCAGAACTTGTATGAGCTTCTCCCAGAGAAATTTAACAATTCACCCTCTTATTTTGGTAGCCGACTACAGCACAAAAGACTTTATCAGGATGTATGTAAGCATACTGGTTAGCTACCACCACAAGAGACGTGCTAAGCCATCAACTTGCTAACACTTCCCCTCCCCTCAGTTAACTCGGTTTAACAGTCCTGTTTACAAGAAGGAAAAAAACCCCACCAGAAATAGTGATTTTAACCATTTAACCATGATTTTCATGGTGCTATCATCTCTCTTAAGGAAAGCACCCACATTAATTTGTACAGAGAATGCAAAATAAATGTTTCCCCAGTGCTGCACAGGCAGAGAAAATTCAAGCTGATTCTTCTGCGACTACTCCAGAGGAGTAGGAAAAGAAACAAAGCAGAATGCTTGAAACTGATGTGATTTCCATTCCAGTTTGGAAGTTGTGTCCCCTGATGGATCATCTCCCTGTTTCTGAACATCTTCCCTGGCTCCCAGGCCACATGAAGGAGACACCTCCCATCCTTTGTCCTCCTTGAGGTCTCCCTGGGTGTGCTTAGCTCTGTAGACAAATCTTTTAAAGCGAGCACAATCTAACTAGACCTGAAAGAAGATGACACCGACTGCAGCAAGGAAGCAGTAACAGTCACACAAACAGCACTAAGCACTACTTATCAGTGTGACACACAAACCTCACTTAATTTTGCACAAAGTTTGGAGCTAACAGCAGCCTAGGATCCTGCGTACAAGTCCGTTTCTCTTCCCCCATCTCCCAGCGGCTGGTTTTTATTTGCCCTCCCCTTCAACCACTTGAGATTTCACGCCACAGCCTAGGTAGACACAAACCTGACAGAGCCTCTGCAAAAGCTGAGAACTGTCCCTCTCTCAAGATCAGTGAAAACCTCTCCTGCAATACAGCTGCAGAGACCACACCTTACTTATGCTCGCCACTCTTTGCTATGCTGCTCTTTTCCACACACACATCTCTGAGGCAGAAATACACTAAGATTGAAGGTGTGGAATCTGAAGCCTACAGCTACAGTATTCCTCCAGTTTTTACTGGTTTATGGCTGCACGCAGCAACCCATCCTGAAACACCTAACTGTTCAGAGCAGTTGAACTGTCACTCCGGTGAGAAGTGCTCAGAAGGGAAAAAATTATTGAAAAAAATCAATACCTCTTTCACAGAAGCAGAAGGTATTTAGGTCTCTTAAACAGTTCTTTACTCACACAAGGATGATTTCAGAGGATATTTCTCTGTAATCAGAACCTATGGCCAGACAAGAGTTGTAACCCTGTATACTAGAAGACAGTAGCAGAGATATTAAACACAGTAAAATATTTTCAAATACCTCTCTCAAGCTAATTCCCATGTACCTCATCTATAAGCAGTAAACACAAACAGCATACATTTATAAAAACACAGGAAACATCCATAAAGGAATACTGCTCATTTCTATTACAATGATGTTTAAAACACTTGAAGCCTAGTTAGTAACTCCCACGGCCAGTAACAAACTGGCATGAGAATCACACCTGGCATTTCTTTCATGGCAATCAGTTTTTAAAACACCTTCTGCTTTCAAGGACACAGTACCAAAAAAAAAAAAAAATCTCTGCTTGGAGTAACTACAAAAACAGAGCCAGAGACAAAGCTCACAGACATGAAAAAGCTTATTCTTCGATATTTTGTCCAGACAAATATCTTCTTCCCCCTCCCTAGTTCTTTAATGAGGTGCTACATGAGATGTAAAAATTACCTGTCAAATAGGTCAAAAGCCTGCACAACTGGGCATTTCAGTGCTACGGAACTGAAGTTGAACTAATTAAATTAAAAGAAGTGCAAGTCTTGTCTTAACCAGAGAGAGGACTTATTTTTCCTGCTTTCTGCGTGCCTGAAACTTCCTCTAATACATGAGCAACGGGAAGTTGCAGGAAGTCTCTTCCCCCCTCTCAGGTCTACCCAAGTCATGTTCCTCCTACCCTGTTCCCCCATATAGACCTCACTGCTGTGTTATTAGCCAGGGTGTACAGGTCAGTATGCTTATCTGTGGAATTATAAAGCAAATGCCTGATGCAAGGCGCTGCCGAACTCACTAATGCCTTCCCCAAATACGCAAGCCCCACTGATAACAGCAGCTTCTGCGGTGTCAATCGCAAAGAGTCCAAAAGGGCAGATTTTGGCCTCGTGTTTACTGGCAGCATTACAAGGAACACAGCACGGTATTTCGAATTTTGAGTTACTTTGGCTAGCAGCTTGGAAATTTTAACAAACTGAAAACATTATTCAAGCTGTGAATCTGAAAAATAACAGAATTTCGTAACATCGTTTTGCAGTTGTTTCACAGCAAAAAGCACTCTCACAATTTCATAAACAAAATTATGCTAGCCATCAACTACAAGTTTTAATAGGTTCTGGTTAGAGGATCATTTTTACTTTCTTTTTCTGTCCTAGCATAGGATTTCTACATAGAAGATAGCTTCAAGAAATGAAGGCAGCTAAAAAGGAAAACTCATCTCAAACCATAACTAGCAAGCAGTTAAATAAAAATCTAATATTAATGTATGTAACAATGATTATTACTATGTTAGGAACCCATTCCAACAAAACAAGTCATGTAACTATTAATACTAATGTCATTCAGAGAAAAAAATCCTGGTAGAACTCAGTCAGGTTTTCGCTTTCATATGAAATGTAACAATAAGTTGAAACTTGTTAACATCAGAACACCTTGGCCTGGAATATAATTTACACATGCAGAGAAGTAGGCAGTAAACTTTCCACTCATCCCCTTAGCCCTCCAGTAACTACTTGCTAGTTTTTAGCTACCTAAAAATATCACTTCCCGAAAATGTCATGCAGGAAGCTTCAGAGTATGTTTTAAAAAAAAAATCATCAATTTAGCTTTTCTGATGTAGTCAACTTTTAACTATTCCCCCCCTCCTCTTGAGGTTTCCTTAAGACAAGTGTCACAGATGGTTCCAAAAGAAGTAGCCAAAAACAAACCCAACAAACAACCAATTTCCTCACTTCTCTAAGAAGAGGAATCGCCACCATTTATGGCAGGCAGATGACGACTTGATTCCCAGCCTGAAGCTTTCAATTCCTCACACAAACATCAGGGGAGACTCAAAGCTGTGCAGAAGACACTAGAGCAAAGGGCTCTGAGGGGAGCCCCTACACAGCCACTAACATCCACATCCTGGCAAAGGAATTACCCAACACTTCAAAACACTCCTAAATTCATCTAAATTAGTCAACAAGATCTTATCTAATTTTTCAGCAACCACCTCCCTGCTCTATTTTTAACCTTTAACAACTAGTTTTAAAACAGTCATTCCTTTACTATCTCCGTAGGTAGTGGGAAGGGGAAGATAAATTTACTGAGATACAGAAAGCTGAAAGTCTCTAAATTCCTGGCTTAAATCCAATCAGCACCACTGATGGTCGCTGCAAGACACTCTGTCTCTCTGGCCTGCATGAAGCAAGAAGGAAGAGAGATCCCACCGGCTCTCATCACAAGTCACAGTAACCGAAGAGAGATCCCACCTGCTCTCATCACAAGTCACAGTAACCGGCTCTCGTTAGCACCTCCTTCGGCAAGCTTCACCAGAGAAACAAGACTAGACATCACGGGGTATAATTCACCTTTGCCCTGGAGAGCATCTTTAGCCAGAGATGAGACAATGATTAGAGTAGCAGGAAGAGAACAAGGAAAGCTTCTGCTGTTGCTCTCTGTGTTGCTAGCATGTTTGAGAACAAAAGGCTTCAACCTTTTACAAACTCTAGGGTTGTCAACACTGAAATTTTTACCAGTAATTAGCTTAATTATTTTTAAAGCTCTATATAGCAATTTATAGTAGGACAGTAAGCAGCTTCTCCAGCAGTTAGTTGACTCAACAACTCTATTTCTGAAAATTACAGTATTCTGCTTTCATTCCCCAGGATTTAAGTTATGAAGCTATTATTTTTTAGTAACAGGACTTGACTGCGTTGCAATCTAACCAACCTAAGAGATCATGAAATGGAGCAGCTACTGTGGATACTTTGCCTGAGTACAATGAAGTCACAAGTGCCAAGACTGGCACAAGTATAAGGAGAGATTATTTTCTACTCAGAATGCTGAAAAAATGCATTTACCTATCTTAATGAATCGACAGGGGAACATCTGTTCATCAATTTTATGCTTCAAGGTGAATGTTTCTTTGTTATAATCATTCTTTAAGCCACTGTGGGAAAAAATAAATAAGGTTACTAAATCTTACCTTGTATTTTAGGACTAGCTAATAAACGCAATCTAGGTCACGCCTGAAATGCGAAGCTCGTTTGATATTACTATGAACCGTAAGTACGCATGCTGGACCAACGCCTGGACTGCTATCCACCATCTTATCTCCCTGGGAGGCAGCACTGGCCAGTGGTTTTGGGATGGAACCGACACCGGATCAATGCTGCTCATCCGCGCCTGTAACCCTGCAACTTCAGCAAGTCACCTGCCTGAACCGCGCTCTCCTGTTGTTAAGAGGGACATGGAGCAGCTCTCAGAATTACCGTGCTGCCCAAGTGCTTTGTGGTCCATTTATGGGCATTCCTTTATAGAGATATCCCATATTTAGTATAAAATTCAACAAAAACCGTAAGTCCATTTTTACTGAAGATGCAAGTACAGGTCCCAAAATAAGAATTTTTTATCAACTTCAGTGCAAGTGAAATGACATTAGGTATCAATAATTACTATGCTACTAAACCCTCTTCTCCTGCAATTCTAGTGGGAATAAAGTCAAATTACAACACTGGTCTATCAAAACAGGGTAAAAGAGTGGGAAAGGCTGCGCTTAGTTTCTGTATGGTCTTGAAGGATACCTGCAACAAAACCTCCCACGTTTCTTCACGGCTATTCCGCTTGACTACAGATGATGTACACCCATACATTCCACAGAGGTGAACTTCCCTTCTGTAGGTCTCCAAAAATAGACTAGTTCTTGATACTCATTTCTCTTGTACTCCCAGATATTTAAGTATTATCTCCCTTCCTGAAACAGAAGGATCCTTACAAGGCCCTTGCAAAATTACATGAGCAACTACTCAGAAGCTCTGGATAGCTAGTACAGCCAAGAGGCCCTCTTTAGCCCCTATCAGCACAACTACCAAATCAAACTAAACAAAAAGAAAACATGGGCTTTCCATTTGTTTATCTGATTTATTTACCTGAAGAAAGGCAGAGCAGCTGACTAGTTCAGATCTTTACAGCCGCAGCGAAGTTCGTCACAAGGGTAGGTTACTTGGACTTTTAAAAGCTACTTTAAGTTACCCACACATGGGGAACTATTTCTCTTGTGTCTCGAGCACATGAAAGAACAGAATTGCAATCCACCAGTATCGCACACTGCTCTCAGCTCTTCCACACCTCCAAGAGTTCGCTCTCCAAAAATCCTCTGTGCTTAGAGCAGGACAAGGAAGGCTTCCTGGAGCAAGCGTTGCGATTGCTGCTCTCTGACCTGACCATAAACACAAGGGCAGCTAACAGCAGGATCAAAACCACAGCTTTAACACCACTGTTAGCCATCTGTCTCCTTGGGAGTGAAGGGGAGGAGCATTTTGGTCCAGCGTTTATGATTACCATAGCTGATGAAGTCACATCTTACCTGGATAAGAGATCTGTCATGTTTTCCTCATTCATCCCACCGAAAACTTTAAACTTCTTTAAATTGCAGACATGTGTTTTCTCATATTTCCCAAATGTGATACTCTGGACTATAGCAGGTCTTTCAAGTTTCAGAATCAAATACTGTGAAAAGAGAGAACAGTGATTTTTAGTATTAAACCCAAGGCTGCAAATCACACTGAGGGAGAAGCATTACAGCCTTCAGAAATCCAGTTTACAAAGCAAGAGAATGAAAATTATGACGATCCCTCCCCACTATTCTATTTTTTCTTTTTTTCCTAGAATGAAGCAAAGATTTTTAGGAATATTACTTTAAAAGCAGCTTACCCAGGAAAAAGATTTGATTGAATTACCTATTCCTAGCATTTCTATTCAGGGCTTACATATATTGCTTCATGTTGGATGCAAAACTTCCTGAAATCTGGCAAATAGGATCAAACTACAGAGAGCGATGATTCAAACGCCCACTACAACCTGAAATGAAACCTAAACTGAATGCACAATTAGATAAATACAGTATGTTCCACATGCTAAGAGAACATCAAATTACTTCTCCTCTATGGGCTGACACTATTTAACCACTGAACACAGACTATGTTTGATGTGTGGTTAACATCGGAACCAACTGCTTATTAACCGTACCAAATAAACCCACTTAACTGACCATAAAGGGGCTTTACACATAAAATGAAGAAGATGTTCTCCCTTGTGAACACTGCTCCTCCCTCATACAGATGTGTGTCCCCCACAGTGTATGAATAGTCAGGTTACTCATATTCAGGCCGCAGCTACCAGCATCACCAGCTCTGCTGGAGAAAAAGATCTGTTCTCCTTGAAAAGCTTATGCACAGAAGTGCCTCACCATTCACCGGGGACCATCAAGCACCAAGTTTATTTAACCTTTGCCTACAAAGCAAGTCTTGTAGGGAATCTGGAGACATCCTGGTTTGCAGAATAGGTCAAGTTTAATACCTGAAAACAGTGTGCTTAATACTCTTCCCTAACTTCTCAGAATAAGCAGTACACTGCAGAGAAATAAGAACTGCAGAATCACAATTATCATGCTGGATTTTTTTTGCAAAACCCTGTGATCCTGCAGTACCCCCTCCTCATCAGTAAGGCATTGGGGAACACCTCCCACCACAGGCACTGGTGGTCCCTTCCACCAAGCAGCAGCACTGCCAAAGCAAACACCACACAGTGTTTCTAGGCTTTCATCGACATCGAGTATTTGCATGCATGTGGCTCCTTCCTATGGTTCTTTAGCAGAGACTACTATCTCTTGATCTCAAGTGTCATGGGAACCACTTTGCTTGTCCTCTACAGCCCAAACTACAGGACAATCTTACCCTAGAAGTGTACCTTTTGGGTGAGAAGCAGAACAATCTTCCTGTCCATTAGTTCTCAGTCTTTTTGCCATGGCTCTATAAGCAATTAATTCTGAACGTGAGCAGTACCAGCATCATTCTAGCGAACATCAAGATAAACGTGATCCCTACAGCTGGTTCTCAATACATTTACAAAAAGCTCGGCTTAAAAGAAATACTCGTACATGCTACAGCTGATAGTGCAGACTGCAGAGGTATCTACTTAGAATAAGGAGAATTTACTGCCAAAGATGCTTCCAGCAGCTCAAATTTTTTCAGAATGAAGAAGATAAACCAGTATCAGCCCTCCTAGGGTGTTACAGAAGAATGCTTTGGTGCTTTCCCAGATTTTTGGGGGTTTATTTGATGAAAAAAAAAAATATATATATAGTTTTGTGTGGAACAGCATCTACCCACCTAGATGTCAGAACCCACTGTTAGTTTGGCTAGCAGTAAACCATGCTTCTGTCTTAAAGTACTCCCCAGACATCAGGAAAAAAGTGCTGTACAGAAAATAGATTTTTCTAAAGCAGAGCAAATGAAGGGATGAGCAAAACGATGGTCCTGTAATGAGCAAGGCAGTACTTGATACATGGCACGGCCCACTGCCAAAATTCCCATGCAGAACAGACAGTACACAACAGCATCTAAGAACTCCTCCTACACCATCCTATCTTCCCTGCGGATTTCTCCCCAAGCTGAAAAAACGAAGCCAGCACTATCAGCATCAGCAACTGCAATTCTTAATCCTGCTGGAGTCACAGCACGACCTACTGCTTGGGTCATGAAGACATACCTTCTCAACAGCCACGCAAGATCGGCAAAAGCTTGGCACAAAGCTTTTTTTTAATCATCCTGCCTTACTAATTCTTACCCTAAATCAAGGGAGAGAAATCTAAGAATGCAGCTAAATACTTTATCTTGTCATACAAGCCTAGAAAGGAGCAACACATGGCAATTACTCCACATGGCTAGCAGTGATTTCTTAAGCCTACAGACAGGGAAGGACCTCTGCAGCCCTCCTTCCTGCTTCCACACATCCCATCACCCGCGGAGTCAGACCAGCGCTACAGAAGACACAAGCACAGAAGCTAAAGACAACGTTCTTGTGAATTTATCTGCCAACTGAAACAAAAGACAGGTTTGATTTAAAGCCTGTGGCCCAATACCTGTACCTTTGCTTTTTTTAATACATACACACACGTATATATACACATACAGAGATGCCCTTTTTGGTTTTATGTACACACACTGCTGCCGCTGTGGGTACAGGCCACAGCCCTCCCTGACATCGAAAAAAACAGATTGCCTCAAGAGCTGCAAACAGCTGGCTGCATGGATATTTCTGGGCTGCTACCAGGATTTTAGATGTGACAGGCTATGCTCTACAGATTTGAAGGATGTGGTAAAAGTGTACGGAAGATCAAGTGATTTATTAAATCTGGAGAGGAAAGGTCTGAGATTTCAGACCAGTATGTATACCAAGATATTTTACACTTTTCCATCCTACTGCTATAAGCAACATCAGTATGTTTTATGTCCAAGTATTCATGAAGTATTCCAAATATCCAAATTATAAACTGAAGTGTTTGTTCATTAGAGGCACAGCATACAGACACTAATTGGACTAACTGTGCAAAAACCTCAGCCTAATTGTTAAGCCTCAAATTACAACACTTACAAAAGAGATGTTACAAAACATTAGAAGAGTAAGATTTCTGGTTTATTATTAAACACGTTTGTAAGTGAAGATGCAGAGAGCAGAGCACAGTCCGTTGTGGCACTTCAGCAGCCTGTTACTGTACATCCCAAAAAGCAAATCCAGTCCTGTCACACTGCGAGCTGCAGGAAAACTCCAAACTTCTTTAAAGCTCTGGTCTTTGCTACCATTTGATGACAACCATATGCATGCTTCTGCATCACACAACTGAGTGTAGATGTTATTAATATACTTTAAATTAGTTCCTGATACGATCTACACAGCAGGATGAAAATCAAGAGAGGAAAACCGGCCTTCAGACGCAAAACTGAAACCAATTGTTTGGTCACTGTCACTAACTTCATACATATGTTCTTTAACTGTTCAAAATTTACATCTCCACATCAAATACACTGAACTAGATTCCTAACTGCACTACGCATTCTGCCTGTGCAATTAAAGAGTCACATTGTATTTATTAATTTCTTTCTCTTGAACCAGTTCTACTCAAACATTTTTTAATTAGGGAGTAATGAAACTTGTATTGCATATGAAAATAAAAACACAAAACAAGCAACATACTCAGCAGGGGCTGCCCTTGCTCACTAGACAAACCTACCTGTTGCTTTTGCAATTAAGCTTGTGGATAAATCTAAGAAAGCTGGAGGAGGATTTTTTACAAGGGCCTGTAGTGACGGAACAAGGGGTAATGGGTTTAAATTGAAAGCAGGGAAGTTTAGAGTAGATATCAGGAAGAAATTCTTCCTGGAAAGGGTGGGGAGGCACTGGGACAGGTTCCCAGAGAAGCTGTGGATGCCCCATCCCTGGAAGTGTTCAAGGCCAGGCTGGATGAGGCTTGGAGCAACCTGGTCTATGGAAGGTGTCCCTGCCCATGGCAGGGGGGTTGGAACTAGACTGTCTTTAAGGCCCTTCCAACCCAAACCATTCTGTGATTCTAACAAAAAAATAATCTATCCTTCTGTTCTGTACTTTATTAAACAAGCCACTGGGGAATTCAATTCCTCCTGCACACAGTGTTCCCAGTCAGACCATCACTGGAGCCATCAGGATGAGCATTTATGACAGGGTCATGGTCTTCAGCACTACCAGCCTTATTTCTTCACACTTCCTAGGCAAGTCTATAACTACTTTAAAAATAGAACTAGCAGCCCTCTCTGCCTGAATAGGTTACTACATAACAGGTTTGTTATTGAATATGTAATTTCTGGGTCATTCTATTTCAAGACACGAAAGATATCTAGTTTAATAAACAGAAAAACAGCTGTCATGTATTTCCTTTCACTGGCACTCATTCATAACCAAGGGGTGGTTTTCACGGCCACAGGAACTACTTAACTCTACCATACCCATAAAGCTAGGAAAACTCTTTACTAAGTATCATCACGTGGCAGTGTTTCAAGTGTCTAGACTTCCACTTTCATTTTCTTTCCCTAAGACTGACTTGAGCACATTTACTGCAAAGCATGGAACTTGCTGAGCTACTCAACATATTCTCCGATTTTTACCTATATTCTGATTCATGTTCATCCTAGCAAGAGGCACACTGAAAGAAAAAGTGCCTGGAGAGGTTTGTCTCCATCAACAAGGGAAGGGAATAACTCCGTGTTTAGGGACTCACTTAAATTTTTACCTCTAAGCCAGCCCAGCAGCACCACGTTGGCAGGGAACTACTAAATCCTTACATTAAGGTAAGATACTCTGATCAGGCAAACGCTGGCGATTAGGGCTGCAGCTTATTAAAATATCTCACAACACGTTCCAGTGAGCATGACTGACATAAGTCTTTGTGTTGTGTCTTAGCCCTAGTTTCAGCTGGAAACAAGGAAAGCTTTCTTTTACCAAGTTTTAATTCACTTCCTGCCCCGGACTCTTATGGCTGCCCACACAGCTTAACAAGTGCTGTTGGGCACTGCAAAAGTGACCAATTTTTCAACAGTGATGCCAACACACAAGCCATGAAATGCTTTGCATCTTGATTTTCCATAGGTTACATGGTGTTTAGTTTGCTGATTAGGAGTCATGTGTATAGATCATCATTTTTTATATATGACATACCCAACTTCTAACATAAATCAACTAATTTCCCCCCCCAAAATTCTCTCCCCACCACACTTAGAATTTAGTCACTCTAGTTTTCCAAGCTAAAAACCTGCCTAAAGAAGTTTCACCTGCATTAAAACCTGGCAGTGTTTCAATGGGCAAGGTGCACGAACTAGCTATTTTGAGCAAAACGCGACCAGAAGTTCTTTAGTTAAGTATGAGACACACAATTTGGAACTGTTTCTCTCTACATACACAGATATGCAAAACACATTCTTTGCACACAGGCCTCTTAGACAAATTTTAATCCCCTGGTTCCTCTTTCCTGTTTTTTCAACAGAGAAGGTACACCGTAAAAAATGCTTTACATTAATAAACAAGCACTCCGACGCATCAGAATTAGCTACAGCATATAGTAAAAGATACTGCAAATACATCATCTCACTCAGCGCTCAGGACTGGGCTTGCTGAACACATGAGCAACTACGTAGTGTTTTATATTCTCACTACTGGATACAGAGACTCAAGTAAGAGGAATCCAGCAGGATGGCCTTTTCCACTTAGGCTGCCAGGTTTTTTGTTGGTTTTGTCTTTAAATAAGACAGAATAAAACTCATACTGTCTTGCCAATCTCAGCTGCTACTATGAAGACTAACTTTTTGCAAGTCAGTTCAAAGAACCTCGACTCTGGATACCTCAGATAAATAGGAGATATGCAGACAGACGTATACAAATACAGCAGTACATCTCCCTCCTATCAAAAGCTTGGTTTAAATGACTTGTTCACGTGGGGCAGTGCCCAGTTCCCTGGGATAAGGTTCAGTAGTTCTGCAGCCACATCTTCATTCAGGCAGCAAGCAATACACACAATCATTGGAAGACATCTCTAACACGCTTGTGTTGTTAGTACAGAAATCTACCACTCTAATTATTCCCTGCTTAATCTACCTGCCCGAATATAACTTGTATTACTGCTTGTCAGCTTTAAGATGGAAATATTCTAAAGCATCTAGTTATAAGAGATGTATTCCCATTCCACAATCATGTTTTTAAAAAAGCACAAAATATTCAGGATGGCTCAGAAAACAAAAGAGCAATTTCTAGCAACAACTAAGAGCACCTCAGGTGAAAACCTCGGCCCAAAGCTACACCACGAGCCAACCCTGCCTTGCGAACAAGAGAGACCCAAGAAAAAACCATGCTTCCTGCATAAAAGGAAGTAAAGGATGGCACAGACTGGAATACCACACATGCTCAATACCCTGCAATCAATAGTTCCTAGATAGACTAAAACTGCTTCAGGCTATGGACTAAATTCCTGTGCTGTTTATAAGAACGTATTTATGTAAAAAACTAAAATTGAAAGAGCAGTATATGCACAGAGGCATCAAGAGAAACAAAATTATTAGTATTCACAATCAGGTTTAGGGAACACGTTAATGGAACAGGACAATTTTCCCTCTCTTCTTGGAAAAAAAAAAACCACGAACTTTTACAGACACAGAACACCTTATCATGAAGCTCAACACAAAAGCTCTTCATGCTATGGGGGAGCCACCAGTCTGGACTACAGATTTTTAACACACCTTCAAAGCAAAGTAGCAAGATTCACCTAGACAAAAATCCCGTGAGACTTAACTCATGAGGAATACTCGGGTAAATAAGTAGATAAGCAAAAGAACTTTCTATGAGAGAAACACTGTGCAGCACACTGTGCTGTGCATCAGTGTTGTAAACAAAAGAATTTAAAACCACCAGTATAAGGGATACAAAAGCTGATTAAACAGTACCAATAAGGTATAGATCTAGCATAAAGAGAAGGATAACATTTACTGGAGGAAAAAATTAAGGATATTTTTTCTGGATAATCTAATTAATAGTGAAATAGAATCAGATGCCAAAATCAATACATATTTTAATAAGGTGCTTAACCAACAAAGGTGATGACATTCGTGTCTCTACACAGACTCTACATTTCTAAATGCACTATTAGGAGAAAAACACAGGCTCCTCAGATCTAGGATTCAAGGCCAGCAGCCTACAATAGTTTCCAGTAGTGCTGACACAGGGGGACCCACATGCCTCATTAGCAGCTTAATCTAACCATAAGGTGAGATTATTTCCAGTACAACCACGACTGTCAAGGATGAAATGCAAAGCTTCCCTTTCCCCACCCCCCCAAAAAAAAAAGCATTTCTTGAAAGATCACAAATAAATTGCTGGAAATGTATCTAATGTACCAACCACCTGCATTTTACTGAGAGAAGGTAGCTTTTAAAGGATGTCAATATAAATTGTAGCAGCCGACATTTAAACTAAGAACTCAGCTATACAGTTGCAGAGAATCAGATGCTTACCTGGGGAGGATAATTGCTTTCCGAAGACCATCTTGAGGATTGATCATTGGGCTTATCCACCAAGATATTCCTAAAAAAATGAGAAGCCAGAGATAATTTAAATAACAGCCATGTTATATTTTACATCTCCAATACGATGTCATACATGCAGACCAGTTATTCTCATGCAACTACTGAAATCGCTGGGCAGAGTACGGTTCTCCTCCTCTTCTATTAATAAATTTCTACATTGTTATTTTACAGGACCCATCAAAATACACCTCCAAGCCTTGTGGTTGTGAAATGGAACTCCGAGTTGCGAAACAAAAAAAGAAATTCTACGTTGTGAAATAAATTGAAAACAGATGAATTTACATAGGCCCAAGTCGGCAATTAAGTGGAAAAAATTCTCTCATTCACCTCAATGGGGTAAGAGCTTTTCAGTAAAGTTTAAATGATGACCAGTAAAAGGGTTAGCAAGCCAAAAACTGTCCTTTACCAGACAGGCAATACTGGAATGGAGAGAGAGAGCCGGTAACCTACTTAAGCTTTCCTGGAGTGTGGAAGATGACCATCTAACTCATGCCAAACTTCAACAAGTATTTTTCATATGAGCCACTAGCCTAGCACAACACCTAAGAAAGCAAATTCAACTCTTCAACCAGAAAAATTCCCTCCGAGTAGCTTTCTTACAGTTTGGAATAGCAAAGCATTTAGGTAATTAACATAAACTCAGGGTTTTTTTGGCTGAAAGGAAACAGATTCATCATGACAGTCATATGAGGGATCTGCCTTCCCCTCTCCTATAAACATGCAGTAAAGCTCATCTCCCAAGTTAAACACTTTAAAAGAAAATCCCTCAAATACGTATAATTATTGGCGAGGTAACAATGCACGACCCACTGGACAGGGCTTATGAGCTCTACCACATCCAACTAACGAACTCACCAGCTCGTAAAACTTATGTAAAAAGAAGGAAGCAGTCATCAAAAGGCTTATGCTATCTCCATCTGCTGTGTAGGAGGAGAAGAACACGAGCATCTGGATTACTACAAAGGACTGGAGGAAAAAATGCTCCTATAAAAGCTCAGAAGGGAAAAAACTTGAGCATTAAATTAGCTCGCTCTTTCCACATTGGGCAGACCAAAATCACCACACTAGCAACGGTATCCAAGCAGTCCCGCGCAGCAGCAAGGGAGACAGCAAGGAGCTAGGGCAGGGTAGCCCTGTAAAACACTTAAATTTTAGAGAGCCAGCCTATTGGCTGTCCATCTGTGTGCTTTTCAAGAGACATGTCATGATTTTTATACAGCGTAGGAACAAAATTCAGGCTTCCTCTCCCTTTAGCTAGTTTCCATGATAGCATGGCATTTATTAACACAGTAATGCCAGTGTCAGCCCAGGCCTGCAGCCGGTTTATTCACGCATCCCCAGCAGGGACAACACGTTTGAACATATGGATATGCACGACCCTCTTGCTCTAACCCCACCAAAACAGGAAACACCAAGCCACCCGTCTGCATAATTACACAGCCAACCAAGTACATCTAGTCTGCAGCACGAAGAGGCTCAACTCCAAAAGGAAACCTAGCCCTTGCCTGTAATTATAACACGGACAAACTGAACCAAGCAAACCTAAGGGGAGAATTTGGGGAGTGTGGAGACAGATTTCTAATGTAAGTTGCCAGCCTCAACGCTAAGGCACCACTAGAAACACACTTGTTTTGAGAAGAACCATACTTGCAATCTCCTGTACCATGCCACAGGCAATTCAAAAGGATATTTCTTAATTTCTTAATACCTTTTAATATGTGAAGAGAGAAGAAACTGCTAAACTTGAAGGAGATCAGTATCTTACACTAGATACTTAAGGGACATTAAGGTCGATAAAGCCAGATAACAGGGCACAGCTTTTCTCCTCTACGGAACTTTATCCCAGCATGCAAGAAGGCAATTTACCCTACAAAATAATTTTTATTTACGAGGCCATTACATTTGTTTAAACATTAGACGATAAGCCCTTCATACATTGAGCAACATTCGCAGGAATTGGCACCGTTACGTGGTCAGATAATGCCCTGCTGTAAAGAGGCATTTTGTAACTGGGACAGAACCCAAAGATCATATTTTTAGAAGTAGATTTGTTTGCTTCTCCAGGTCAAAGAGCAGTTTGCCACAACCAAAGAGGACCTCAATCAGTACAGCTAGACAAGATAAGAATCCTTCTGCAGAGGCAAAGGGATGGGCAGCTCACAGAAAATTAAGGTTAAAAAGAAATTTAAAAGAGAAAAAGATAGCAGTGTCCATATAGCTATAAACATGTTTAAAAATGCATGGGTTGTTACTTTAGTAAGATTAAACAAACACTGAAGACAGACATCCGTATGTACAAAGTCAATTTACCATAATGGTTGAGGAAAATTTATGGGCTCAAAAACTTGGAGGAATTCAAGCATTTCAACAGTCATGAGACAGTAAGAAACAAACAAATGCATATCCCAATGACAGATGCCTCTTTCCGTGTAAAGCCCTTTTTCTGGACATCACAGCACTCTTACACAGTACCTGGAAGCAGGCTTTTCAGACATGACACCTAGATTAAAACCTATGAGAAACCTTAGAAGTGGAAATTCCATTAACTCAATGACTTTCCATGTAATTTTCACAAGGCATTAAAAAAAAAAAGGTATTTGTAAGCTCTTGAGCTACCGCAAATACCAAAGTTTTACGCAAGCTTTTCCTGTGAAAAAGAGCAACCCATTAAATGTGGTTTGAGATAACTCATAAACTGCACATACGAGATCTAGTCTAGCATAAATCTACAACGCTGCCAAGAGGGACCATTCCGCCCACTCGTGCCTGATCCTCCCCCTCCCTACACCAGCAGCTATAATGAAGATTAGCATAAATAACTTCTTCAGTCAGATCAGTTTGCCAATTCAGTTTACTGCTCCGGCCAGCACAACAGGAGAAAGAAGAGCAGCTGGACCCAGACGATGGGTTCAAAGAGGAGTGAGCTGCCAACACCACTCTCCCACTGGCAAGGAACTACTAAATATAATGAGGTGTTGCTGTACCTCTGCAACTTTGTGGGCATTCCTACCCCACACTAAAAGCTAAGCAGGAGGAGCTGTTTGATTCGCCTCACAAACGAGGTGTCCAGAGACGGTACTGCTGTGCCTTAAATTCATAACCTAGCTTCCTTCACGGCTATCAGCCTCTAAGCCCTTATTGTAAGCGTTCCCATCGCTAACCAAGAGAGGTTCTGGCTGCTTTGCGTAGAAAGCCGTCTTGGCAGAACACAATGGAAGTTTCTTTTTATTACCCATGCAGATGCTGGTCTTGCAATTGCTGGAAGTAGATCATTTTTCCTTTTACCAACCCAGAAACTGTCATATCCGTTGTACCAACTGTTGGCTGGAATTAGAGAGATGTCCCCATTCTTGGCACTACCAGAGGGCCTCTCTGTGCAAAGAACTCTATGGTTTCAGGCATGGCAATCACTAAGGGAGATTTATTCTTTGCTTTGGGGGAGGGAGGAAAGGAGAAAAAAGATGACTTTGCAGAATGCACTGCAAGTAAGGTTTAAGGCTCCTGTAATTTGCATCTAACCTAAATATTTTCATGAAGCTGCTATTAGAGAAATCCATGACTTTAGGAACAGGTCCTTAAGAATAAACAAATCCAAAACACAAGCTTTGCTTGGCACATTCAAGTTGCTCTTGAGAGAGCAGCTGTGCAGAAAAGGGCACATGCGTCTCCGAGAGGACTCGGAACTCAGACGCTGCTCTTGTAGAAAAGCACCGAGGTACCGCGCCATTAAACCGCAAAAAGCTGCTGGAGGGCCACGAAAACAGCCTGACTGAAAATGGACAAAGCTTGGGGTTGTCCACGTGACAATTTTTTCCTACAATCATCCCAAAGCAAACTATTAAGACTATATGGACTAAAATTTCCACTAAGTCCACTTTACAGAAGACTCGAAGACGTAGCGGGCCAACTATTTCAAGCACGTGGAACCAGTACAAAGCGTTAACGGAGATACTCGTGCCCAGCCTCTTAAGACACTGAAACATGCAGTCTTAACCAAGATAAACAGAAAAAAAAAAAAACCCACCACAACACCAAATGGCCCAAAAGCCTATTCCATGGATCTGGAAACAACTACAGAACTTATTTATCCTGCAACTCCGAGAAACTCAGTGCAACTGATGCTGATTTCAAAGCACCTGGCTGTGATGTTTCAAAAGCCATAATGTACCTACAGCTCTCACCTAGAGCCATTTAAAAAAAAAAAAAAAAAGCTTTTTTTGATTTTGTTCTAAACTTTCTCTCCTTTCTATTGGAAAAGTTCTCTGCTTAACATGGCATAAGGACATAAAGACATGAGAAATTCTTGGGTGAAACACAGTAAAATGTGCACAATTATTATGCAGTACGTAGATACATCCAGAAAACATGGGGTTTTTTTGGTTTAGGTGTTGGCTTTTTAGGTTTATGTTTTTTAAAACACAGGACTTCTTAACCCCACTAGTACCAAGCGCAGGAGGACCGCCCTTGTAACAAACCAAATTTTGAGTTAAACGTGCACAAGGGTGCAATGTTACACACCACATTGTTGTGTCATTTGCCAACTTACTGCTCAAATTTGCTTCCATCTCCTCAGCAGGAGTTTCACACAAATATTCAGTATACTATACATTTACTTCTATCAGAAGTAACACAGCTAAGCAAGTACAGCATACAAAAATGAACTGATGAATTTCGAAATCACCTTACAGAAGTATAGTTATCAGATCACAGCTCACTATACTGGACAACAAAACAGGTATCACTTCGCTCCGGCCTATAAATAGTTCCATTAAAACCAGTATGTCAATTATTTCCTTCAGTGAACAGTTTACTTTCCGTAAGCTGCCTTCCATCACTGCCAGCCCAAGGATAACGGAAGTATTCCTTTTCACACCCCACATCTAGGTAAGACTTCTTGAAAACTAGGTATTTTTGACTCATCAGTGCTTCTTCCTGACACGCCAGGAATTAAATGTTAGTAATAGTGACTAAAACTGCAGCCGTACAGTGAATTCCCAG